ATGTGTGTGTTTTTTGTTTCTCTTTCTTTTTTTCTGCCGCTTCTTCCTTTTGCTTGGTTTGTTGTTTTGCGATGTTGTCTTTGCTCTCTCCTAGCAGGGCAGGGCGGGGCGGGGGTGGAGCGAGGCGTGTGTGGGGGGCATGAGCGCGGGTGACCGGGCTGACGTGGCAGATGTGAGGCCGCTCCCTGTCTGGCTGCGCGATCCGGCACAGTCAGACACGTCGGCGGAGTTGCCTGTGGCCGAAGAGTCGGCGGCGAGCCCGAAGCTCGGCGGGTTCCCAAAGGAGGAGGGCGGTGGTGAGACTCCGGGGGCACTCGCGCTTATCCTCGCCGAGCTGCGAAAACAATCCCTCTGCATAGAAGAACTGAGGGCGGCGCTTGCGGAGAAGGAGGTGTACCAGACCCGCTTCGATGTGCTGACGATGGTGAACGTCGTGGTAGACGCCGTTTGCGAGGAGGCAATGGCCCATGTGCGAAGTACTGTGGAGTACACGGATTTGCTTTCTACGGTCACTCTCAGTTTCGTCTCCGGGGAGGTCTCTCTATTGCTGGAGGAGATGGACGACGACGTGGATTTTTGGGGCGTGAAGTTCACCGCGGGCTGCGTCCTCAGCTGCCACCTCGCCGCGGGCGCTGGCGGCTCCAGCATTGTGGTCAACATCGACACGGACAAAATCACGGATGTGACGCAGCTGACGCTGGTCGCCGTCTCCGAGGAGGCGACAAGGGAGCTGTACCAGGCACTGACGGCGCTCTGCGGCCGGGGCACTGCGAGCTCCGTCTCGCGCTCCTCCACGCCCTTGTCGCTGCAGAGGGCAAAGTTGACGTCGACTGCGACCCCACTGGTTGAACTTGCTTCAGCGTCGCAGCTCTCAGCGGCAGCACGAGGCGGAGCTGGCTCCAGCAGCCAAAGTTACTTGCAGGCCGTTCATACCCCAACAATGCGTCGTCGCAAGAGGGTGATGCGCCCGCAGTTGGATGCCCAGGTGCCCGTACCAGCGGTTGCTCAACAGCAGCCGCAGAGGAAGTGACATGCGTGGACAGCTGGCAATGTACGGATACAGCGGCAGGGCGGAGTGACGATGTTGAGCATAGGCGAGGGCCGCAATGGGCGGAAGCAACAAAACGAGCGGAGACGCTCCAGAGATAAATATCAAAAGACAAATACAAACAAACAAACAAACAAGGACGAAGCTTCTGCCATGATACTTGGTAGGAGAGAGACGGCTTCGCTACACGAGGTATCGAGCTTTTGGGACTCTGAGCCCCATCTTCTTAAGCACTCAGCAGTGCCTGCCGACTGCCAATTTGGGCTTGGCTCAGTTTTCTTGTTTTATTGTTTTCCTTCTATTTCTTGTCAAAGGAAAAAAAGGTGAACATACGGAGTATTTTATGCTCGTGTGTGCGTGAGAGAGTCCTCTCACTGTGGCCCTGGTGCGCGCCTCCTCGTACCTTTTCTTGCCATATTGGAGGGAGCTCTGGCGCCTAGCCGGCATGCCGCCCTTGCGCTCGCCAAGCACGCTCCGTTGCGCTTCACCGTGTTACATCTCAATCGCACGTACGCGGAGTGCTCGGGGAATTCTTGCGGTGCATCACTGACGACCTCTCTGGCACCCTTGGGAGAAGTTTGGCCATCGTCGATTCGACAGGGACGGTTCTCAATGATCCAGTCACGCCACGGGCAGACGGCGCTGTGGACTCCAGAGCATGCGCGGAGTCGGTGCTGGAGCTTCAGGAGCAGCGTGGGCCGCAGTGCGGCGAACCGCAGGAATGGGGCGTGAATGAGGCTCTTGGGCGCATAGAATGCGTCTTGCCCGAGGACACGCTCTTCTTTTCCTGCAGTCAGTCGGGCACTCGTCGGAAGAGCATGTGAAAGGAGTTTTCTCCACTGTAGCGCTCCGGCAGAGGCGACGGAGAAGGGAGGCGGGAGGGACTCGAGCGGCACGGCAGGAGTTTCCAAGAGCCGAAGTCCGGTGGCTTTTCTGTGGCGCATGCTCGGAGGAAAGAAACTGGGGGGGGAGGGGCACCAGCCGACTCCGCACTTTGGCATCCGATGTCACAACCACCGTCATTGCCAAAAGCAAACGCAGGGGCAAAAACAGGGATTCCGCTCTTAGCACGGCGGTCATGCAGTACCTACCGATGCTATTTGGTGACTACTTTGAACGTGCGCGGCGTCGCTCGCCGTGCCGAAGGCTGCGCGTGCCCGGCGGGGTCGAGACGCAGAAGCTTCATCGCGACGTTCAACGTTCATGAACCCGGAGGGATGTCTTTCCAGGAGAGCTTTATGCCTTATTTCTGCCGTTTCTCGAATTGACGGTGGAGCGCATGGGGGAGGAGGTCATGAAGTTGGAGTCTTTGACGCGGGAGGTTTTGCGCAAACTCGTTACGAACCCAACATCACGGCGGGGCAGGCGGTGGCTTTTGACGGACGTGGCCAACAACATCTTCCCTAGGACCGAGTTGCTTCTCCGTGAGCTGGCAGAGGTACTGCGGCGTCACGGGCAGGACAGAGTTGTGCGTAATGCTGGAGCTGATACGCCCGCTGGAAGCCCGTTCGCCGGACGAGGGTGTCCTCGCAGCGGCGGCAGCGGCGGTGGAGGTGCCTCGTGAGGTCACGGTGCTCTCCGGGGCTGTTTTCAGAGATGTTATGCATTCCGGCGACGTCGCGTATTGTGTTGCGCGGCTGCGTGAGCGCCTCAGTGGAAAGGTTTGAGCCCCCATGGAAGAAAGTGAACGCCAGTTATGCAGGAACTGTGAAGGGAAAGTCTACAGAGTAAACGCTTCCTTGCTGCAGCGCAAGTTGCCACTATTCCTCCCTGCGTGTCAACACATCCGGTACTTCTTTAGGGGTGACTGACTATTATTATTATTTTTTTTCTCTTCTCTCTCTCTCTGTATTTGCCTCTCGCTGAGCTTCTGTTTGCTGCTCTTCAGTTACCCTCCCCCGTTTCCCCCTCACGGCACCCTTCTACACCTCTCTTTTTTCTTACGCCGGGCATCGTCAGTGGGGCGCACAGCCGTCGTGCTGTTTCTTTTTTTGTTCCCTTCTTGTTTCTTCCCCTCGTTAGCAAAGACTCAAGGAACAGAGGGGCTGGGCACAACTCCGACGAAATTTCCCCAGGAAGAAAAAAAAAAAGAATGGGTCGCCCGAGGCATAACCGCAACGATGCATCATCGTGGGAGACTTTTATAACCTGCTGCCTGAGCCATCTTGCGCTTCTCCCTTCCATCAGATATCTTCAAAAGCGAGGGATGCACTATGAGGTCTGCGTATCTACATTTGCTGCCGTCGTCTCTTTTTTATACCACGCAACCGAGAGTCTTAGGATGCCGTTCTTCCTCTCCACCATGCGCTGGCATCGTTTGGACAACATCGGGGCCATTGCTTCCATAACCATCGTCTGCCTGCATTTGTGCTGCTTTGAGTCGGAGAAGCTGCTAGAGTACTTAAAGTATGCCTTTCTTTTTCTGACAATTGTGCTGCAGGAGGCCGATCCCTGGAACGTCGTGTACACCGCCGGGCCCATTTTGTTTGCGTCATTGTTGGTGCTGACTTCACATCTCTTGTACCCCGCGCGGCGACGTCGCATCGCAGGTAGGAACCTCAACATGAGCATGGTCTCATTTCTACTGGCAGTGATATGTTTTGTTTTTGGGCTGGAGGACAAAAAAGACACTTACCGCATGTGGCATGGCCTTTTCCATGTTTTTGTGGGCGTGGGCATATACAATGTCTTCCAGGCCCTTGGGCATCAAGGTAAGAGTAACAGGAAAATGAGTTGGCCGGCTCTCAGCTTTGAGGTGTGAAAAACGGGGGGCTGTGTCCCTGATAAGGCACGAGTTGTGTGCGCGCGTGTTCAGTTGTTGTTTCGTTTTTGAATGCTTTTTTTTCCCGCTCATTCTTCAACGCGACTTTGGGGCCGAGTTTATTTTTCTGTACTTCTTATTAACTTTTTTTTCCCCCCCCCCGCCTCTCTGCGTGACAGATATGTTTATTTATATATAAATATATGCGAAAACAAATGCATCATGTATCTATCCATCCCTGTGTGCGAGTGAGCCTTGACTCTTATCCCCCTTCATGTCTGGACGGAATTTTTCTGGAGTGAGCGTTTACTGACTGAGGCACGCCGTTGTTTACTTTTCGAATTCTAGTTGCGTGCTGTGTAGAGTGACGACGGGCGGTGTAGTTGTTTCTTTTCTTTTTTTCTGCTTCTCCCTATTCTACCGGACACCACACGCCGTTTCTGAGCCTCATGCTGGGTGCGGGTCTGCGTGCCGGGGAGGGGGGGAACGACGGGTTGGGGCGCTAGGCAGCTGCGTTTGAGGTTGTTGCTGTTTTTTTTTTCCCCACCACCTTTTGTTTTTCTTGACATTTTTTTTTGCTTTTCTTCGTGCTGGCTGGCACCACTAGAGTTTCGTTCGGTGCTGGGGGACGGCCGCGGCGTAGTGGGGGGTTGGCAGCGCGTCGACGCAAGATGAGGGATGAGCCGGCGTGGGCCCTCTTCGCAACGACGGTGGTGAGCCACCTGCCGATGATCCCTACGGCGTATCTGTTTTGGAAGCGTCGTTACGTGTACGAGATGTGCATCGCGACCTTTGGTCTTGCCTCGTCTCTGCTGTACCACACCTGCCAGTCGTTCGACGCGACGATGTTCCTCGACGAGCTCGGCTGGCACCGCCTAGACAACATCGCCGTCCTTGCGGGGATGGGGATGTGGTTTGTCTTCATCTGCACCTTCAAGAACCCGGTGGTGGAGCGCAGCGCCAAGTACTTCACACTGCTAGCGAGCGTCCTCATCGAGGAGAAGGACCCATGGAATGTGGCGTACACTGTCGCACCCATTGTTCTCTTTGCGTGCATCCCGCTCGCAGTGTTTCTGTACAGTAGGCGGCTTCCGGCGGTTGAGTACCGCCATCTCGTCACTGCTGCCGTATTTATGGGGTTTGCCGTCCCTTTCTTTATCGCCGGGCTGGACGACGCGGAGGATCCCTGCCGCATCTACCACGGCCTGTGGCACCTTCTCGGTGGCATTGCCTCCTACTTCATGTGGCTGATGGTGAAGACGCCCGGCGCCACGGGCCCGTACCCCAAGGCGAGCTCCCTTGCCGTCCGCGGCGATGCGCTGCTCTGACGACGGAGTCTTGCGGGGGGTGCGACACACGGGCAGCAGCGAAGCAAGGAAGTCAAAAAGGCGACAGGTGGATACAAACGTGTGCCTTGCTCCAGCTGCCGCGTGAAAGCGCATACGATGCACGCTGCCGGGCCTGAGCTCCGTTTTGGGAGCGGCCTTGACGGCGGTGGGACAAAAAAAAGTCACCACCAACAAAAAGCAGCAAAATAATCCAGCAAAAACGAAAAATGACGGGTTGGCAGTAAAGCACGAAAATAGGCATTTGAAGGAGGAAATCTCCGGGTAACTATCGGGTATTGGTACCTCTCATCGTACTTGCATGCCGCAGTGAGGAGGCGGAAACAGGTCAGGTTCTGCCGCCTCACGGAAAACAATTGGAATAATGCTTTCAATCGTGTCTATTTCTCTGTGTTAACCCCGCTCCCACCCATTTTTTTTCTTTTTCTCCTCATCTTCTTCTGCAGCTGCACTGCAGCAACCAACAACCAAAGGCAAAGATGTGATGCGCCTCGCGGTGGCTACGGGGTCGACACTCTTCCTCGGCGTGGCGTGGGCCCTCACTCAGGCGACGGCGGTGTCTCCCGTGAACGGTCCAGCCCGAGGGTCAGCTCTCAGGGCTTCCGCACTGATAGGGGCTCTTCCTCGGTCATTACCACCGCATTCCCTTCAGCATCTTCAAATGTCTCACCACGGCACACGGCGGCGGTGGTAATGACGGCGGCCGCGGCGTTTGCACGGGCGGTGAGCATGGCCCACTTCATGGGAGGGCCCGCTTGAGGGAGGCGGCGGTGAGGGCGAGATCTCATGGGAAGTGTGGGGCGGCGAAAGTTGCTGGGGGGGGGTGCCTGTGTGCGGTTTAGGGCTGGACACTCGCTGCACGAACTTCGCGCGGAAGGCTTGCTGAAGTCTGGGAGTGCCGGCGTTGGCCCCGGAGCCCTGTAGAATATGTTGTGAGGCTCCTGTTAGCGCCGGCACCGTGTGCGGGGGCGCGTCGAGACGAATAAAGGGAAACAGTGGACACGAAGTACTCAGGCGAATGCGCAAACACGCGCACCAGCAAAAGAGGAAATATTTTGCACCGCGCCGCACTTTGTGCGCTCTCTTGCAATTTCTGATGATCCTCCCCTTCCCCTAATAACAAAAAACAAAACAAATAATAAATATTAATTACTTTATTCGTTGATGCACTACTCCCTCTCTATCTCTCTCTCTGCTTCTCTATATGAGCTTCTTGTAGTTGCGGGCCTCTTGCTTCACTTTCGCGCTTTTTCGGTCTCACGCGGCCCTTTGTGGTGGGTTCGTGGCACGCATGACAGCGATGGTTGGACCCGCGGACGCGCTGGACCGGTTGGACGCCTTTATGGACGCGGTGCGGATCGCCGTGTCGAAGATGCAGAGCGAAGGCGCGGCAGACACGCGCGACGTCCTGCGGCAGGCAGCAGGGCTGCAGTGCGCACTGCACACCCTCTCACGGGAGGCGATGGCGGCTGAACTTACGGAGGAGCAGATGCGAAGGGATGGCCTGCGGTGATGCTCTCACGCCCCCAAGGTGCTACGTCCGCTTCGACACTCGAAGTGCCGGCGTCGGGGGGTGGCTCTATGCTGCGCTCATTGGTTTCCGTTGCTCCCTTCTAGTGAACGTCGCGGTGAGGAAGAGGCCGCCGCCTCCGTGTTTTGCCTCCCACTGCCACCCTTTTGCCAACAACCAAAGGAAAGGGCCGTTCTTTTTTCCTTCCCTTTTTCTTCTTCTGCGTCACTGAAAAGAGAGAAGGCAAAAAAAACACACACACACACACACACACGTACGTACACAAAGGGTGAAAAGTGGGTGAAAACAAGGATGAGTTCGGAAGATAAGACACGCGGTTGCTTGACGAAGGCCCAAACGCTACGGGCCAGCGGCAACTATAAGGATGCGGTGACCGCCCTTCAGTCGTTGTCGGAACACGGGGTTCCGTGGGGGCCGATGTACATTGCCGCCCTTGACCTACTTGGGGAGCTCTGCTTCAGTCAGGAGCAGGGCGTCACAGTGGATCGCTTCCTGCCCGCATTCAGATGGAACCGCTATAAACTGCGCGGGTCGCAGCACCTGGAGGAAGGGACCAAACGCATCGTTGAGATAACCATGAAACATCTCCGAGCGCTCGGCGAGAGGTCACAGGCGAACGCCAAGGCGGCGGAGGAGAACCCCGCGGAGGAGGATCTGATCTTTGCCGCCCTCTCGGGGGTGTCGCCGGCGCAGCGGGCAAAGGAACGCTATCTTGTTCCTGCGGAAAACGCCACACAGTTGGTGGGCAACGAGCTACTCGGCTTCAACGCCATTGGGCATTCGATGAAGATGCTTCCCATCTACCTTGACACTGCCACGGAATTGATTACGTACTGCCAAAAACGCAACTTAAAGCGAGCTATTGGACGTATAGCTGACGCATTTGTGCGATTTTTTAAACGGTTCCTGCTTAGCCCCGTCCCGTCGACGGTGGAGGGCGACAACCCGCACCTGATTGCAACTTACAAGGAATTGGAGGCAGATCGGGAAGACTTTTACAAAGCAGGGGCAATCACAGAGCGTACGGTTCAAGTCTTTTCTCATCTTCTGCAAACCTTAACCTCCATGAATAATTGGCACGCTGCATGGTCGACGCTGCAGTGTTTTACGCGTGTCATGCATGAGATCACACAACACCCTGATCCCTCTAGGGAGTGTCAGATTCTTGCCAATTTGGCCATGGCTGGCGTATTTTGGAAGTGCTCACACTACGCTTTCCATGCCCACTGCTTAGGTCTCGCCGCCTTTTTGATTGATGACAAAGAAAACGTCGTGGACACGGCCTCCAGGGCAGTTTTGGCAACCCTCTGTGCGCCTAACATTAACAGGGAAAAAAAGAGCTTTGGACGCGGATCCGATTCGATATTTGAAAAGAATGCTCGCATTGCGCAGCTATTTGGGCTGCAATCAGCACCTGCAGGGCTGTCCCTTTGGCAGCGACTGCAACGGATGGAGGTTCTTCAAAGAGCCCACCCAGAAGTGCAGGCACTGGACAAGTTACTACGCAACGAGTTGGCGGATGAGAAGGTTGCGAAACAGGCCATCGAGCAACTCTCTGTGATTGTTCAGAAATTCCCTGGCCTTGCAATGTACGAAAAACCACTGCGGAAGGTTATCCTTCAGAGGTACCTTGAGTGCATGGCCGCCCAAACCACCCGTGTGGAGGCGTCTTCGCTCCAAATAGGGGAGACTCAAGCCTCGGAGGAGGTGTACATCCATGAGATTGAGCCCTACATTCTGAACGAGTCAGGAATTTCGGTAGAGATTGATCACAAGACAGGGTCGATCTCGTTCAGTCACACGACGAAAACGAGAGTGCTTGAGGCCTTCACCGCCCTGGCGGAGCGCGTGGATCGCCATCCCGCCGCCCCGAGAAGGAAACTTGACATCCGACCCGAGCAACTCCAGCGGGCCCATGACCGAAGCAGCATTTTACACCGTCTGCAGCACATTTGCGAGGAGACCGCGGAGGCCCGACGACAGCGGGCGAAGGAAAAGGAAGAGGAAGAGCGTGAGAATTTCAGGCTGGAACGAATTCAAAATGAGGAAAAGAAAAAGGAGGCAGCCCGCCTGGCGCAGGAGGCTCGTGGCCTGGCAGAGTACCAAGAGCACATAAACCAAAATCGCCGCAAGGTCGCACTGCGCCGCTTGCAGGAAAAGTACAAGGGCTTTGTCGCCCCGGCAACTTTGATTCAGAAGAATTCGACAGAGTTTGTCCAGGAGTTGACGGCGCGGTTGACGGAGCACCTGAAAAGGACGACGCAGCAGAAGACGGCAGACGTCACCAAGATGAACCACTTCGAGCGGGCATGCAGAGAAATTGAGATTCCAAAACGAAAAGCCATTGAACTCGAGGAAGCGGAGCAGCACAAGGCAGAGCGGGCCGCGGCGCGGGAGAACTTCCTCATTCAGCACCGTAAAGAGTTTGAGAAACGACAACTGGACAATGAAATACTAAAGAAATTCCTTAAGGAGGCCGCTGTCTTTGCGGAACAAACACAAATGAAAGGAAAGGCTTCTAAACGCGATGAACAACAGATGCTTCTTCAGAAAGAGAAGGAACGGCTGCAAGGGCTGTAGGGGACGGTATGGATAAGTGCCCCAGCCCACTGTTTTCACCGCAGTAGGTAAAATTCTATTAAGTAAGGATCATTATAATTAAAAACATCCAAATATATATATACGTATAGCTGTGTGTTTGTGTACTGCATTTTCGTCTCCTTTTGGTTGGTTTTCGTTTCCTTTTTTTCCAACCCCCCTTTTTCTTTCGTTTTTTCTCTTCCCCTTTGCGGGGCGGAGGGAAGGAGGGAAAGGGGAGTGGGAACTGTCGTTGCCTCTTCTCCACCTTCTTTGTTTCGTTGCGTTCTTTGCAACCCTGTGCGTTGTTTCCTCCAATTTCTGCCGTGGCCCCTTTCATCAGGACTTTTCAAAGGCCCCTCAAGCGAAGTTCGGACTCATGGCGCGGAA